TTTTTTTTTTTTAAACCTGGATTTCCCAATTGATTTGCTGTAGGATTCTTTGAGAGCACAAACACACCAGTACGTCTAAAATGAATCGGTTTGTGGAAAATCAGCTTAATTCAACAGACGTTGAGTTCAATTATCTGTTCTGCTCAAAACCCTGTATTGTGGGGAATCTCAGAGCAGCAGGACTGGGCCCGGCCCCCCGGGAAGCTGGCATAGCTGGAAGGCTGGGGCCTGGCCGTGAAGTAGGTCAATCAATAACAGAGACCGGTGTGTGGTCGGCACGCCGCGAGGCAGGCGTGATCGGCGTCTGAGGAGGCGGTCCGAGACAGCGGGGTGAGCGCGGCCACGTCCCTACAAATCCTGACAAAACGCCTTCCGGGCTGTCAGCTCACGGGGTGCGTGTGGGGGGTGTGGGGTTGCAGGTCTGGGGGCCCTTCCGCTACTCAGTGGCAGATCCTGGCAGGGATCTCGGTGTTCTGACCCCGAGGCCTCACCCGGAGCCGGTCGGCTCTGCCCTGTCGAGCTAGCCCAGGGAGTGAGCACGCCGCCCTTCGCCGAGTGGCTAGGGTTTGCTCATGCAGACTGTGAGCAGAAGGCTGCCTGGTTCCCGTGGCAGAGCCGTTTCTGGAGTAACGCCTCACTGGTGGCCCTTGAGGTTTGGGCTCGACGGGTAGCCACTCACACGGTGTCCCCCGTTCTCTTGGAAAGGAGGATTCCAAAAGGGAAGACGCTTTTGTGGAGGACCCTGGCCGGTACCTTCCCGGAGCACCCGCTGGTCAGCGCGAGGCTGCTGCGGGCCTCCTCTAGAGTACTGTCCTCTGAGGGTGGCATGGTGTCCCCTCCTTCCGGTGTTTGATCGCCCTTGGTCTGAAAGCAGCCTCCTCCCGTTGCAGGCGACGACCGATGACCGATGACCATAGGTGGGCTCTCGCCAGCGCTCTGCCCTCTGACGGAACGGGCCGGGGCAGGCCGGCTCCCCACCGTGCTCATCTAGCCTGGCGTCCCACTGGATGGGAGGAGTGACCAGGCAGCGCCAGACCCAGGTACTTCTGTCATCTTGTCTTCAGGTTTTTAGCGCGACGCGTTTGGAACAGAGGCTGCAAGAAAAAGACGGCCAACGCCTTTTAAACCACGTTCGAGATCTGACACTTTGAGCGGCGTGTGCTGTTCTGCCCTCCGGTGTTTGGGGAGCCGTTTCAAAGCCAGCTGCGGCCGTCAGCACACTCCACTGCTAAGTATTTTAGAGCACTCCTGCTTACGCACTATCACACCTAAGAAAATGGACAAAGGTGATTCCGTAACATCACTTAATAACCAGTTACCCTCCGGCTTCACCTGGTCGCTACCGAAATACGTTTCCCTCCAACAGTGAACTTAGGAAAATCTTCACACAGCAAAGCCGAGTTCTACAGGGAACGCCCAAGTTCCGTTACTGTCCCGCTAGTTTCCTTGCGTGTCTGTTCTCCAGTCTGTCCTCCACAATCCACTCACCGGCGCGTCGCATGTTCTGAAATGCACAGCGTGAGCTGCAGACCCGGCGCCGTGCGGAGTCGCCCTCCAGAACTGACTCTTGGAACTTACTCTCCGAATTTCCGCTTTCCCTCAATGCAAACTTTAGGTCTGAGTTGGATACCTCAGAATGTACACATCTTGTCACGTTTGCTGAGTTTAGACCAACGTGTACACAGGTGTCACTCATGCCTCTGTCAAGATAGAGATCTTTTCCATGGCTCCAGAAAGTTCTCTCACGCCCCTTCCTACCCTTCGCAGGCAGCCATTCTGGTTTTTTCCACCGTGGGTTAATTTTGCCCATTCTAAGTAGAACCATATCGCGCCTACTCTTTGACGTAAGGCTTCTTTCAGTGGGTGTGACCCTCTCTCTGTCCTTACGTGGGTCGTGGTCTGTTGCTTTGTAACAATCCAACCTCTCGTGTGGGTTTTTACAGATGAAGCTGCCGTGGACATTCTTGTACACGTTTGTAAACATGTTTGCGTTTCTGTTGTGTAAATGCCCGGGAGTGAGATCGCTGGGTCACAAGGCAGGGGTGTGTTTAGTTTTCTAACAAACCAGCGGACCTTTCTCCTGGGCTGTGCCGCTTCCCGTCCCTCCCGGCGGCGATGGGCACCCTGGCCCCTTTGCCAGCCTGGCGGTGTTTGTGTTCATTAGGGCCATTCTGGTGGGCGTGGCGTAATTGCTCCGTGTGGTTTTCACCCAGGAAAGTTACAGTGACAGTACCCAGAATTCCTGGGTGCCCTGCTCCTACTCCCGGATTCCCCACATGCTAACACTTCTGTTACGTTTTCCCTCCCTCCCTCCCTCCGTTCTCTGTCTCTCCCTCTCTACACACGCGTGTTGCAGGCACACACGTACATGCATACGTGCTCACACATACGCACATACACATCTACATGCGCATGCACACGCATTTTCTAAACTGGCAAAGTACAAGTGGCAGCCACGATACCTTTTTACCACTAAGGACTTGGTGTGTATTTCCTGAAGACAAGGACTTCTCTTACGTAGTCATAACGTGGTGATGGCAATCAGGAAGCACACGTGAGGACGGTGTGGCCATGTGATGTTCAGGCCGTCCTGAGGTTTTGTGAGTTGGCCCAATGATGTCCTTTACAGTGAAAGGAACCAGGGTCACTGAGCTGCGGGACTCATCATGTTTGCTTAGCTCCTCGGGTCTGAACAGTTTCTGAGACTTTGTATTTCACGACATCAACATTCTTGACAAATGCAAGCCAGTTATTGGGCGACTTTCCATCCGTTTGGGTTTGCCCGACCTTTCTAGTGACCTTCGGGTTACACACCCGTGGCGGGAAAACCCCAATGTGATGCTGAGTCCTCGTGTGTCCCGTTGGGAGGTACGCGTGTCGATCTCGTCAGTCCCCCACCCGGCAGCGTTCACTCCAGCCCCGGGATGAGGGTGACGGTGGCACCCGCCAGGCTTCCCCTGTAAAGTCGCTGGCCCGTTCACCTTCCGTAGTCGGGGGTGTCTGACTTTGAGACCTTGTTCACACCCTTTCACCCCTAGACTGATCTCCTAGTTCAGCCTTCATTGGTACTTTTTACCCTGATGGTTGCTACGTGGTGACTGACCTCTTGGTATCAGAGCAGATTCATCGAGCCTGGCCGTGTCCGGGAGGGTACTGAGAAGGGCCCTGACCCGGCCAAGTGGGAGCCCCTCCAGGCTGACTCCGCTGCCCCTTCACACGTCTCTGTCGATCTGTGGCCACATTTGGTATAAAAAAAGGTATTCCGGGGCCAGCATATTTTTCCCCTGTCCCAGCCCCGGAATGGGCCATCCTCCTCCCTCTGGTGGAGAATGGAAGTTAGAACTCACATGTGGGTACCGAGTAGGCACACTGATTCCCGGGGGCTCTCGTGCGAGGCCGTCCTGGAGGACAGAAGTGGGGACAGGCGTCCGTACCCGTGTGCCTGTGCACTTCCGCGTGGAGATCGACACGGGCGGTGCACCCCGCCTCCCCCGCCCCCGAGCCCGGGCCAGCTCACGCGCACGCTGTCCGTGGCAGCCCGGCACCTCCCTTTTGTGACTCCTGTCATCAACCCAGTTATCCACATGTCGTGTCTGCTCGGTCTCAGAACGTGCAGGGATTTCACTGCCGCAATCTCGTCTGTACCTCCCCAGGCAGAGCCCCGCCCTCAAGAGCTCAGCATTGTTTTAACCCGAGGCTGCATAACCTAGTTACTCAGGTTTATTTTTCTTACCCCTCACTGCGTGGTTATGTTACTCATTACAAATTCAGTTTGGCGCACGGGTTTCTGTTAGTATTCATTTTCAGGGTTTTCCTTTATTCTTACGGATTTTGTTCTTTCCCTTCCTGCCTCCCTGTCTGCTCCATGTGACACATTAGCGGGGCCCCCCGTGTGCCGACGCCAGAAGGCGTCGGAGAGTGTGATCCCCTCCCGCACCTCCTCCGTCCCGCCCTCCCACACCCCACGCACGTACCTGACCAAGTCAGTCTCTGATGTTCCTTTCCTAGGTTTCTTGGCACAAGTGATCAGACGCACGTATATCTTGTCATGAGAGATCCGTTCCCCGCTCGAAGGGTAGCAGTCACGGACCGTCTTTGTGCACCGGCCCTTTGCACGGAGCAGGGTGTCTCAGCACCGCCTGCTGGGGTTTAGAGAGGGGTGCACACGGAGGCTCACTCTTTCTTCCTTCTTCCAAGTGCTCCCTGCTGACTCGGCCGCTCTCCTACATGGACCTTCAGGTGGGTTCTGCACTTTGCAGTTACCAGCGGGGACCCCCTGTCACCAGTGTGGTGGCTGCGGGGGGGTGGGGGGGGAACGCCTGTGGGCCTGTCCCCGGGGCTGTGCGGGGACCCCCTGTCACCAGTGTGGTGGCTGCGGGGGGGTGGGGGGGAGTGCCTGTGGGCCTGTCCCCGGGGCTGGGCCCTGCCTACAGCTATACCTGCCACAGCACGGCCTCCCCTCTCCCTTGTTGCAGTCGGCTGCTGGTTCAGTGTGTTTTTAATTTGTGTTTTTATGAGATTGACCAACTTTTCCTATGTTACAGTGTCATGTTTGTATCTTTTTGTATAATTGGTCTGCTCCTGTGTTTTCCCATTTCCTACTGTTGTGATCTTTTTTCACCTCCCTTTTAAACATGTGTTTATATAGGGGACACTTTGTATTTATAAATCCTTTTCTTCTAAGTTTTCAGCTCTTTGATTTTGGTTATGGTGTTTTAAAAAATTTTTTTTTAGTATTTATTTCTCTTTGAGAGAGAGAAAGAGTATGCGCACAGGGGAGGTTCAGAGAGAGAGGGAGACCCAGAATCCGAAGCAGGCTCCAGGCTCCGAGCTGTCAGCACAGAGCCCGACGCGGGGCTCGAACCCACGAACTGGGAGACCGTGACCTGAGCCGAAGTTGGACGCTAACCGACTGAGCCACCCAGGCGCCCCTACGGGGGGTTTATCTGAAAGTGACTCTTTGTCACGTGATCACACGTGTGCACTTTCTTAAGAGAGCCCAGAGGCCGTCCCCAGATTAAAGGCATCATGGAGTGTGCACAGACCCTCGGGGCCGTTTGCTGCACGGGGCCTGTGGTTGTGAAATCATTCGTTCCCCTTGACTCAGTAATCCCAGAACAGGTGTTTCGTCGTAGGAAATGCTTTAAAATGAGGGAAAATAAATGCGTGGCGATGTTGATGGAAGTAATGTGTCCGTTGCTGGAAAAATGAGAACCGCGTAAATGGTTCACAGGGTTACAGCTCAGCTGAGCTTGAAAAGGCCATTCATGGGAGTTTGGAAAGTGCAGCCATGGAAGATAAAACAGTAGGCTACGGAAGTGCCCGTGTTCATTAAGGGAAAGACAAAACAAAACTCACTTGTGTCAGGATTAAAACCGACCAAAACTGAAGCCCGCGTAGGAGGCGTGCGGGGACCGTGGGGACCAGGTGTGCTGAGGTGCAGGGCGGGGTGGCGCGGCCAGCAGGTGGGCGGCTGGGCGTCCACAGCGGCGTCTGCCAGGCTCAGCATGGACGGCGGCGCCTCTCCCGGAACCTGGCGCTTGGAGGCGAGGCAGAGACCAGGGCGCGAGGGGCTCTCCGGCCGCCGCGTGGGGCTTTGCCTTTCGGAGGAGGACCCCGCGTGCTGCCGGGCAGCGGTGGGGACACGGGGGAGCCGGGGGCGTGCGAGAGTGGCCGCTTCTGTCCACGCACAAGGAGAATGCGTCTCAACAGGGACGCTCGGGTGGGGAGAGCACACCCTCCCACGTGGTGCAGTGTGTTCTCACGTGCTCCCACCTTTGTTTGCCTTTTTTTTAAGAACCAGCTGCAATTTAACAGGAGTGTTCCTGCACATTCCAGCAACTTGGCCGCGCGCTATTCCTGCCCCGACGCGATCAGAATCGAGAAACTGACGCACTCGTCCGGCGAGTCCTACCGTGGCGGGGATCCGGGCTTCAGAGCTGGGCCCGACGTGAGCGGCTCGGCCTCCTTCTCCGTCATCTCCGAGGAGAGGCTCAGCTATGCCGTCCACCTGGCCAAGAGGGACGTGAGGCGCAGGCAGTTCGAACAGCACGCGAGACAGCAGCGTCTCAGAAGCGAGCCCCAAACCTCTCAGAGGTGGGAACACCCCGAGCACAAGGTGCCTGAGCACAGGGAGCAGAGGAAGGAGGCAAGGAGCCGGGAAATGTGTCACTGCAGCCACGAGACGTGCGGGCGGGGAGCTTCCTGCTCGGGTGCGAAGGTTCACCTGTGTACCCCTCAGCCGGGGCAGCCCCCCGCCCTGGAGCCGGGGCCCCAGCTGCACGCCAGGACGGGTGGCCCGCGGGGCCTGCTGGGGGTGCAGAGACTCCAGGAGGAGCTGACCACTTGCGTCCGTAGGATGGAAGAAGTAATTAAAAGAGGTGAGAGCAACAGGGCTTGTCACTTGGATGGGAGGCCGAGAGTGGGGGGGTGGGGGTGGGTAGCACACACTCCCTCGGGACCCCCACCCCCAGGAGCCTGAGCACCGGTAACAAGGCATGCGGACTTTGAACGCGCGCGTGGGAGGGCTTTCTTCCTGGCGACCTTGCCCCGGCCTGGCCCCTGCTCCCGGCAGAGGCCCCCCTGGGCCATTCGCTCCTGCAGGTGGCCCCCCGACCCCCCCCACCCGCGGTCCTCCGGCTCCTGGATGCAGGCGACCCTTCTTCATCCAGAAGCCCTTCTGGCAAGATTGTTTGTGCTTTGTTGAACAAGGAGCGTGATGTGTGCATATTTCCACAAAGTCTGTTTTAAAACGTGGCAGTGACGGGGCTGGGGCGTGTGGGAAGTCTGACCGCTGACCACCGGCCACAAGGGAGGGCGCGTGGTCGTCACAGACCGGTTCCACAGCTGTTCAGTGTTCTTTTCGCCCCGCGTTTGCCTGGGGCGCGAGGGCTAGGGCTGTGCTAGCTGCTCTGAGTGCAGGGGCTCGAGGAGCCGGTGCTGGGATCCGCTCGGGGTCCGCTGTGGCCCTGGGCCTTGCAGGTGACTCCGTGCACGTCTTGTGCGTGCGTCAGGAGGGGGGCAAGGTGCCTCTTACAAAACCAGCTGTGATTGGATGCGCTAGAACAGAGATACGTCGCTGAGGAGGTTGTGGCCAGGAAAAGTGATGCTTGTTTCTGACCTTCCGTGGGGCCAGCTAACGGTGGGGGACACGGGGGAGTAACAGTTGCAGAATTTACAGGGTCTGAGACAAAACACAGTTGCGTGGGGAAAAGAGTTCCTGTCCGTCCTGGGCCAGAAGGGACATCCCCCTGCGGTCTCCGTGAAGAGCGTGGTACCGGGCGCGGTTCAGACACCCTCGCGCCAGCTCAACAGCGCTCCTGCTGCTCGGGGCTCTGGCGGAGTCCGGGCTGTTGGGGGACAGAGCCACAGGGCCCTGCTCTGATGATACGGCCTGACGCGGGCACTAGAGAGAGCTCCCCAAGCCCTGGGGAGGGACTGAGTCGGGTGTTTGCTCATTTGTTTTTTAGTTTAACATTTCAAGTTGTCGCAAGTCCGTACCTTGTTTGTTTTTTTTTTTTTTTT